CGTTTACTTCTTTCTTATGTCATTGCTTCTTATATCTGATTAGTCTAGTTTACTGATGTTGGTACAGTTCCAAACAACAGCACCAAAAAGCTGTTTTATGCGACCTCCTGGGGCTGTTCTCACACCTGGCGAGAGTATTATAGCAACTGGTAATATTTATGTGGATTTGTGCAGTTCCTTTTTTTTTTTTTCACAATAATGTAGGGCACTTAAGGATGTATTTGTATATTTCTTACTCCGGTGCTGGTGTTGGATGAATCTGTTAGTATTCAAGTTTGTAGAGCCTCCAGAGAACAATGAAAAGCCAACGGATCAGAAGAGCAAGGTGAAGTTTAAAATCATGAGCCTAAAGGTGAATGGACCGATGGACTACATAGCAGAACTGGTTTGTCGAATCCTTCCCTGATAGCTTTATTTTTGTGTACCCATCTTGAAAATATTTTTTGTTGATGACTGTATACTTGTACTCTTTTAGGTTGTGTTTTAATTGGAATAATTGCATTTATAGGTACTGTTTAACAATTAATTTAGTAGTCGCACGTATTGTTGAAAATAGTTTACTTATTGCACATATCACATTATCAAGTTTTTGGGAATTGTGTGATTTATTGTTGAAAATAGTTTACCTATTGCACGGATCACATTATCAAGGTTTTGGGAATTGTGTGATTTGTCTTAGGAAAGTCTCTTTGAACTTTCTCCTGATTGTTTCTAATCATTTCACTTTGTCTTGATACAGTTTGACGAGCAGAAGGATCAAGTGGCTGTGGAGCAGATACTTCGGGTAGTATTTCTAGATGTGGAACACCCTAGCCCTGTAAGTAAAGATTTTTGCCAGTGTTTCCTACCATGTACAGTGCATTGCATTCACTAAACTGCTTCGGAGCATCATCGTTTGCATGCATTTGTTATGGATTATTGCAAATATTTTCACATTGAAAATGTCGATTTTTGAGATGCTTTATCTGCTGAACTATGAAGGCTCTAGAAAAACTCAAGCGTCAGTTGGCTGAGGCTGAAGCTGAACTGGAGGCTCGCAAGAAGCCTGCAGAGGACACAGGTCCAACTTTTATTGGTGAAGGACTTGTCATCGATGAATGGGTACGGTATCTTTTCATCTTAGAAACTTCTTAAGAGATATTCATTCCCTTCTCTGTTTGATATCTATTCGTGTGCTTTCTGTCCAAATTCTGTTTTGTAGAAAGAAAGAAGAGAAAGATATCTAGCCCGTCAACAAGTAGAAGGGGCAGACTCTATATGACCGGAGGTTTGTTGTTCTCCATAGTCTTTTACTTCAATCTTCAGCTGGAAATTTCTGCCAGACGCTTTAGATGGCTGTATTTGTTTGTTATATCAAAGAACATTCTGTTACAAGTGTTGGTAGGAGATACTCGACTGTCAATGGGTGTAGATATTGTGATTTTGCTTCTTCAAGTGTGAAAAGATGTATCTATTTCAGGTTTCTTTGAATTATGGCTTGCATTTTCTTCATCTCTGTTAGTATGAAATTTGTCTTTCAGACGAAGATGGTCAGATTATGGGAAAGCTTTAGAGACATACTACTCAACAAAATAAATACACTCGTGCTAGAATCCTATTTTACCAAGACCCATCTTCGGGAAACCAGGAGACCCATCTGAGCAATGCTTCCTCCCAACAAAATCGTGAGCTTTAGTTATTCCAGCTCCTAGAGCTATGTGATCTCCATCAATAAACATAAGCGACATATATAGATTCTAATGTTCGGTCTCAATGGCATAAAACCAATACTGTTTGGAACTTAAAACTTTTAGAGCTTCATCTCTCAGGATAAAAAACTTCTTAAAAGGCATGGCTCTCTCGCGTCTTATTCTACTACTACTTTTTTTAGAGGAAGTCAGTTGTGAATATCGGTCTAATTTTGTTACCTTAGCCTGGAAAACAGCCTAGTTTCCTAGGCCTCCTATCCCGATGTTGAGCTAAGCCCGACTGCCCTAATCATGTCATGGATTCTGTTGCCCAAGAACAATTAAACTGTTTGTACCTTCATACGCCAAGCCCCCTTGTAGTCTTTAGATATTAATAAAAACTAGCTGAAACGACTATACAAAAGGTACTCTAAATTCTCCCCCAAGTTTTGCTTTAGCGTGTGCATACACATATATTTCCATACAGATTCTAATGACGCCAAAAACAGTTGCATTGAAAGTCAAATGGATCGAATTTATAGGCAAAAACATTTGTCACATTCAAAGAATTCAAATAAGGAAATTTATACCCTATATATATTATAGATTACGGATGAGGGCTACATATGCCTTATATGCACTCATTCAACCAATATTCATCTGCATATATCTGATTTCTTATTCATACTTTCTCATCTGTGG